AGTACATCTTTTATTTGTTCATGTAGCAAATAGCGTTGGCTTTATAAAATTTTGTCACAGCGAACTGATTCGAAAACTACGGATACGATTCGAAAACTTCTAATTAATAGGAATTAGTAACAATTTTTTCAACACTTTTATGTCGGAAAAATCTAAAGCTAATAAATTACTGCTGTAAAATGAACTATGTAAGTTACTTGCTTCGTTTTTTATACCGTGTGAAAATATTTCAAAAGATACTGTAAAAAGTTCGAGTGTAGAATGCAGAAGCAATTAAAGAAGTATATATAGTACATAAGGACCTCGGCACTTCGTGGATATTGTCTATCCAAATGGCACAAAACCATGAATATGTAGGTATGTGAATATTTTTGACTATAATTTATAAATTAACGCTTCCATATAATACGTAGAAAACTTAATGAAAGACAATCTTGATACTCCGATTCCAAACCTATAATTATAAACTTTGTAATTGTACTACTTGAGCTCCTCAAATTGTAATTATTTATCTAATTTTAAGTTTTGTTGATGGGTTTTCAGTAAATCTAACATAATTCAATTTTTGTTCTATTTAAACATCTCTTGATTATTTGTTTATTTGCATTGATTTAATTGCTATTTGAACTTTACTTTTTTAATAAAATGGGACATTTTAAATTTCGAAATTCGAGAATCGGAACCTCATCACTCGACGGAGCTTGAACCGGATAAATGCATAAATAAAAAATAAAATAGAAAGACACGTATATAACGTATTCTAAAATTTATATCTTAGATCCTTTATGTACCTACTCCATGAATCAGTATTCACAATCCAATTACGAAGTTACAATTAATCATTTCTTAATATTGGTCTACTTTCGGTCTACTAATCACCGTGGACTGATATACCTCTAGTATTAGATACTAATTTATTATTTTATCTTATGTCAAGTTATCAACTACCAAGAAACTATTTCACGGCTGAGCAATCTGTTTCTCAAATTATCTTAGTGCTAACGGAAAAGTATCGTTATTTACCTAGAATTGGGGCAGATTAATTGGAATTGGGAGTATCTTAATTGCAATATGATCTTTATAAATAGAAGCTAAGAAAACTCTTTCTACTCTCTACATTAAAGTTACATTTTGAGTACCTACCTTAAGTAAAAAGTAAATGTATTAAAGATATATTTTTCGGCATCGGCAGATGTAAGCAAAAGACATTCAAGTTCGTTCTGTGTAATTGTACGTAACGTACATTTCAATCAAATCAATTAGTACCTACAACACACAAGATCGTTCCATTGTCATTCTAAACTCTGGCGTTTGTAAGAAAAAGTATACAAAAAGAAATCGAGGACACGCACAACACTACAATTAGGTAGAGATGAGCCATCAAAAGACGAGCACTTGTAACAATTGGGTAACAGATAAAATAATCCTGTCCCAATGTAATCAGGACAAATGTAATGGAGTATGACATTGTGTAATACTAGGAATTAGCAATAATTAGACGCTATAATATCGCCCACAATGTGATGAGACCAGTTAATTAACCCGTATTAGGTACTTATATATCTAATCCCGTATAAATCGGATTATCATTCAATTCTAATACGGATATAACTAATATCTGGACTTGATTTCGATACGAATATCTATTTGATTTATTGTAGCATTTGGGCGGAAGCAGTGACTTGACTATTGATCGCTTTGGGTTCAATCCCTTAGTCATTCGTCTATAATTAGATGTTTTCAATTTTAACGTAAATCGGAATTTGGAATTATAACTATAAAATTTGTTTTGCTTTATTAAATTTTAGAAACTATTATTAGTAGTAAAATATCAGTAGTAGCATGGAGTCTGGAAATGTGCCTGATATATTGGAATAGGCTCACCCTTTATTACAGGGTACTCATAACATAAATAGTTAAAAGTGTGTGTTACATTGTACAGTGGCATTAAATGCCGTAAATGTACACCTCTGCCATCCCTTCGGGGATAAAAGGCGTGATGATATGTTATTAGTAATAACTATTGTCTTTGATATTCTAAAACGTTATCGCAATTTACACTTTAGTTTGTATCAGATACACATAGATCCGTGTATTTGAAGGAGACTAGTAAATTACCGTTTAACTAGTCAATCAAACTATTCATGATATGTTTTTAAATCATTTTGCGTCTAGTGGATTTTGATACATAGCATAACATAACATCACGCCTTTTATCCCCGAAGGGGTAGGCAGAGGTACACACAGAAGTAACACCCACTTTTCACTATTTATGTTATGAGTCCCATGTAATAGGAAGTGAGACTATTGCCATATACCTGGCACATTTCCAGACTCCGTGCTACTACTGAGATTTTTTTTAAAATCCAATAATATTTTGCCCGACCCGGGAATCGAACCCGAGACCCCTTGCCAAACAGTGGATTTTGATTTAGATTTATAATGTTTAATATATAACATATAGAAACTCATATGCTAGAGTTACTGAATTACTCGTTTATTACTTAGTCTAGTAACGTTGTAATAGCATCTGTTTATATTTTTACAGTACTCGAGGGATAGGATGAGGTGTCATGTTCAAAGCTGGAGGCTCCTACCCAAGGTAGAGGTATTACGTAACATAGCCGGCTCGTAAATCAACTTCATTTATGACTAAGGTAGCCAATATTATTTTTCATCTGTTCCAAAAGCAGTACGTTTTTATTAGAAGACCGTCGGTTATCGGGAACCCTTAAAGTGAAACGGAGTCCTTTAAAAAGGTTTTAATATTTATTAAACCAGAGGCGGGGAAGGTGAGATCTTATTTTAGCTGTGGAATAATTAATGAAGGGTAAGCCTCTCATTGTTGCCCATCACAGAGATAGATGCTTGTATATCGAACTACTCTAAACTCTCAAATTACTTAAATACTATTGAATTTTACTGTTAATATAAGTTTAAAAGTAACCTCTAGCGTTAAAAATACTGTTTGGGGAACCTGAATGTTCTAGCCAAACTGCATTTGATGCATGAAAACAGTTCATTATATACTTGAAATGATTACAATCCTCTGAATATTTTCGAACTCGCCATATATATGTACAGTGAAAATCGAGTTATTTTCAGCAAAGTGAGAAAGTGCGGATAATCCGAGTAAGCGAGGATTACCGGATTGCTATTAAATATTTTTACACGAATAAAAATTGTTGGTTATGAAAGTATACGTATTTATATTTGTAGGTATACATATAGAGGAACACAAAAAAGAATTATTGGATAGGTATTATTTGGTTCGTATGCGTTCGAAATTAGTATTTTTAATTTATATCAATTTTACTGCCAGTTCCAATTACAGAATAAAAGAAAGGAGTTGATTTCAAAATATAAATAAATATGAATTGAAAAGTTGTACCTGGTATTAATATTTTTGAATAAAGCCATAGGTACATACGTTTAAAAGTGGATTGCTGTTCGTTGTGAACGCCAAAATTTTAGTAAAGTATTGATGAATAAAGTAAAGGAATTGTAAGAGTAGGTAATTAATAAAATCATCAATTGTATTTACCACATGGACTTATAAATTAGTTAGTTAATCATGGATAATTAAAATTATTTTAGCATCTGTAAATATCCTCAATTCATGCATGTCACATAGGAATGATAATTCAGTAATGGAAGGATTTAAACCTTTGTCAAAAGATTTAATGGTCGATAAAGCAAAGGGTCAAAGAAAAGGTCGTAAAGTTAATAGTACCTATAATTGAATATGTACTTAAATATTTTATGTTCAATACTTCATTAAATGTCATGTTCTTATCCAACTGTTTTTAGTCCATTGAAGGTCAAAATTAAATGACAAATGAGGACGTCGAACGAATTCGTTGGAGGACAAATTAAAAGTTAATTAGAGAATGAATGAGGAATTTATTAAATGGATTTTCCTGATAACGTTCAGGTGGAAAAGAATTATAATTATAAATAGACACCGACTGCGTCGTTGGTCGAGTAATCGCAAGTCCTACTGCCAAGTCCGGGCTGGGCAAAGTAATACTAGGTTTTAAAAAAATCTCAGTAGTAGCACGACGTCTAGAAATGTATCCGGTATTTGGCAATAGTCTCAACCCTTATTACATGGGACTCATAACATAAACAGTGACAAGTGGGTGTTACATTATACAATTGCATTAAGTGCCGTAATGTACAACTCTGCTTACCCCTTCGGGGGTACACAGCGTGATGTTATGTTAAAGACACTGATGTGAAATTTTAGTTAAGTATATTGAAGATGTTTAAATTGCTAATCTCAGACCTATATTACTCAATTCATTATTTATGCCACAAACAAAATACAAACTTTTTAACTCGAAAAATATTAAGTTAATTTTCTAATTAATACATTTGCCATTGTTTACATAACTACATTTATTGTTAGTACGTACTTATTGATTTATTAAACATATTGCAAACAATTTGCGAACAATGTACAGTTCAAATACAAATACACTAATATTGTATGTATGTAGTCAACATGTGGTATTGTTTCAGCAGCTGTTAACTATTTAATTAATTTCCGACTAGTTCCGTCTGATTAGTTTCAAACTGCAGCGTTGTTCTTACTTCAATTGTGTAGTGGGATCGCGTGTTGAATCCAACTTAGCCAGGTAATTCAATTAAAGTAGGAACCTACACCTGTCCTGGTTGCTCCGTTGTGGTAGAGATCTAGGATTCAGCTGTTAAGAATGAATTCGTATCGTAATACAAAAAATGGCTCATCTACAAAAAAATGTGACGTGACCATTTTTAGCAAACCGCTCGATACTTTATATTTTTGCCAATTTACTACCTAATGTTTGTGAGTTACTCCACAATGAAATGTGTGTCCATTCGACCAACAAAGTAGCATTATAATGTATGAAAAACAAATAAGTACATGTATCCGCTGAAAATAAGTGTAATAAAGATATCAATCACCTTTAAGTATCTAATATACAATAGTATCTAATTATTATCTAAATACTTACATGCCAAGCCAAGATGTTCGCGAGACTTGCAAGGACCGGCTCCGAAGCGAAGGCGATGGTGGTGGTGCCTTCTTCCAAAGCGTGGATGATTTGCAACATCTTCGGATGACGCCACTTCTCCATGGACGAGACACAGAGACGCATGCAGTCCAACATGGTCTCCTTGCGCTTCGGCTTATAAAGCTTTTCCGCGATGCGCTTGTCGAACACGAAGACCGAGCACTCCTACGAAGAATAAATACAAGTTAGAAGGGAACACGATGTAATTATTATAGGCAGCAGCAGCAGCAGTGATTACATATATTATGGTACGCCTCTTCTAGTATTGCGATAACCCATATATACGTTTGCCCCATATATCTCATAAAACACCAATCGTTTTTTACCTATAAAGTTTACCAGAAAATTTCATCCAAATGAACCCAAATCAAATAAATTATTAAAAATCTAATTATACGAGCATTGTTTATTGTGAAAATTCATGTTCATATAATTTAGATCGAGAAGAGTATGCAGACGATAGTTTTAGACCATTAAAAATTTTATTGTGTACCTGACCGAAAGTGCAATATTTCTTTTAGATGTCATAGAAACGCGTTATTTATTAGAGTCCGAGAGTATAGAGGTAACAGTATACGTTTCACAAGGTTTAGAAAATAAATTAAAAGCAGAAGAAAGTCTGTTAATGTTTGTTAGAAGGACAAACGTATTTACAATGCGATTGGAAATCACTGAGTTGAGTTTACATAACAAGCGAGTTAAATTCAAGGTGAAGTTTAAGATGAACGTTTCCAGTTTACTGGTTTGTTTACTGGCCTTCTCCAGTATCGAGAAATCATTGAAAACGCGATAGATTGCTGCACAATTCTGCAAAACTTGCTAACGATGTTTGCATTTACCATTTGCAATAGAAATATAATTGCAAGGTTACCAATGAAGTGTTTACAGTTATTGAACATTATTGAACGCGTGTATCGTGTTTCAATATTGATTTAGTGAAGAATACAAGGTTAATATTAAATAAGATATATCAGAATTTTAAAGAAATGAATAAAAATTCGCTATTATGTTTCCTAATTGGAAACATAATGCAAAGACTGCGAATTCACAAAATGCCGACCATCAAGTAATAACGTCTTTCTGGATCACCCTCAGGTTGACTGTTTGAGAACGCCACTGCGCGTTAAGTCCCCCATTGTCTATTATATGTCCAAGAAGTGTAAAATAAATAATTACTGCACAAAGTGTTTAATGACTGAAACCAGTTAATAAGCAACTACTTCGCTGACAGAAAATAGCGGAGCTTAATAGTGTTGTACTCAAGACTGCCTTTGACACAGACCGGCACTAATGAATCATTAATTTGAGAGCTAAACGTGTAATTACTAGACATCTACTAAGTTTATAATGACTAGGACATTGTGATTGTAGTAGGCAAACTAATTACCGTATTTATTTGTGTATAGCAATGCAGTATCTTTGACATACGGTGTGTACTTTCTGACCAGTAAATACAACTGCCGCGTTGAAACGGTTGTGCTGTTCTGTTGCCGCTCCTACTCAATCTCCAAAAAAGGTTTTGTAAAAGTTGAATAAGATACTATTGTGATTTGACAGAGATCGTACAGCAGCTCTGTCTGGACTTTTATAACTGCTATCTTCAACCCGGCTGGCAAATGATGAAATGACAAACATTTTTTTATTGCAAAGGAGGCATATAATAAGTAGTCGCAGTGGACTGTCACCGGCTGTTGATTCACTTTAATTATACGGTCGAATATTTCTTAATGGGACTGCCTCAAACATTTTGTTTGCGTTGTTCCAGCCTGTTCTTCATTAACGAGCGCAAATAAATTGCATTAAGGAACAAGATAACGTTAAATTCGACTGCTTTGTTGTTGTTACATTTTATATTTAAACTTTTAATGCTTAAACGTAAAATTGAAATGAATTTTGACGGAACTGAGAACTTTAACGCTAGAAGATCAAGAATTATGTTTAAATCCATGGTAGGAGTTTCAACAACGAACTTAATAAACCTTTACAAAAGTTGAAATTATTTAAATGGATTTCACCCTTTTAAAGTTGCTTAAAACAGTTCGTAGTGGGTAATCGTATAGCTGGGTGGATTGTTATTGCGGTGTCGAAGGAATATTTCATCCAACTACCTGACTTTACCTGGTAGTTGACAGAAGTTAGCAACTTGTGCGAACCCCGGGGTGACATAAAATCGTTGAAATACGAACACGGAGAATAGTTTACATGAGTCGTATAAGTTAAATGTTGTCTTTAAGTTTTGGGGTTTAAAGACTTAGATTACTAAGAAGGATATTACAAGCTGAAGTTATGACTACAGAGGGCTACACTCGCTCAATATTTTACATAAGTATTGAAGTATTATTTTTAAACGACGTGATTTTGAGAGTATCATGAACTAAGTTAACATACATATTATCTTTAATCTAATTTTTCTCTGTTTAGCTATTACCTGTTACACAGAAAATGTATTTGGTTTGGTACAAATGTACGAATAACTTAATAACAGAACGCAATTTTATTATCATTTAAGTAATAAAATTGTTGCTTGGTTGTTACATTAATTACAGTTCATAAATACGTCTGGGGAAACCCAATGACATGGCATGGTGGAATGAAAAACGACGTTCAATTACAGGTAGATAACAATTATTCTATATTCGTTATAAAAGCGGCTAAAGGATAATACTTCATTACTTAGTTATAGTAACCGTTTATTAACAGAACGTCACGCCCAATGCACATATTCATTTAAGTACCGACTTTTCAACAGTTTTGTAATAAGTTCCATATAATGGGGAAAGAGTTTATTATTATAATATGATTCCAGTACCATACACCGTAATATTAATCCCAGTAATACTTTGTTCGACCCTGGAATCTAATCCAAAATGCCTTGCTTGGCGGCTACTCGACCTACGAAGTAATCGCTTTACTTGATAACCGCTTAGTTATTGCAAAATAGTTCCAACGGTCGTTGTCTATTATTAAATGTCGTTGATTATAATATATTAGCTACTGCCGCGCGGTTTCACACGCTCTGCTCAGCTCCTATTGGTCGTAGCGTGATGTTTTATAGCCTATAGACATCCTCGATAAATGCGCTATACAACACAAAAAGAATTATTCAAATCAGACGCTTAGTTACGGAGATTAGCGCGTTCAAACAAACAAACAAAGAAACAAACTCTTCCGCTTTATATTGTAGTATAAGATTATTGATACGAAAGTAATTAAAGTTATTTACTTCATTATCGATAACTACGTCATAACTTACTCTAGAATCCTCGCTTACTACTTAAACAGAATGCGGAACTCTGTTCGCTACCTAAAAATGTCGCTTAATGTACTTTTGATAATGTATCAAGTCCATCCGACAAAGTTGCAGACAAAAGTTACATTAATTCTTGAAGTTTGCTCCGAAAGTTGGAACAATAACATATTTTACTTAACTAGTTTGTTTAACTTTATACATTAGGCGGGTTGAAAGTATTGAATAGGGATCCTTAGCCCGTGGTATACCGGAATGAAGGTCTACGGGAGACACAATGTCTTTTCTATTGTCTCATATTCAAACCTGGTAAAGCCGTGTTTATAAAACAAACAAATGCGAGGTTACATAGTAATAGTTAGTATTTATTTTATTTAAGTTAGTATATTAATTTACAATAAAGTCCTAATGAACACAAGGTTAGATCAAATCTGAAAATATAGGTCAGCAAATAAATAATTTTGAAGTGCATGGAACACAAAATAGAAGTAAACTTTTTTATTTATTTAATATTATAGCAACAGCTTCTGTATAGATAATATTTAGAAATAATATGGGTAAGAATAGGTATTGGCCATTGGGCTTATACAGTCGTCAATTATAGGTTAACTGTTCCTGACGTCACATCGGGCTCACCACCATACGTGGCCCGCGACCGCTGCGATCGACGACGGTCATTCATTCACTCGCTCGCCCGACACGACGCCGTGCGCACATATCGGTTGACCCTAACAATCAGCACCTATTTAAATACAGTCTCTTATCTTCATACTGAAGTCTTTTATTAGTCAAGACCACCAGCAACACACCTGGAGCTTGATATTCAAACATTGGTCCTTCGAGCCGGATGAACCAGCGACCTATGGATATTTCTTTTGTTCGCTTATCGCATGCTTGAACATCTGGTTCTTTAAACTTGAAAAACAACTTTAATATTTTATACAAACTGTTTTTATTGAATGCATATTAGCTAAATCAGCTGTTATTTATCTTCGTCAACTATTGACGTACACTAGTACAGGTACTTGTCACTTGCTTACGTTATTGTTTCTTTGCCTTTTTTTGTAATTTTAATCCTTTGCTTCATCTTAAACACTTTTCTGCTTACTCAGTATGTCCGATGCAAAGGTTAAGGAGCTGATAAAGAGGCGTGGCAGCTTCAAAGCCAAGCTTACACATTTTAGTAACTTTTTAAAATTTCTGCCTGACACGGAGTTAGACAGTTTTCAAACAGCTGAGCTACAAAGCCGTCTTAGCCTAATGCAAATACTTTATAAGGAGTATGACGTGTTACAGACCGAGCTGGAAATGTTGTCGGAGAACGCGGACGACATGTATGCCGAAAGGGAGCAGTTCGAGGCGCAGTTCCATGCGCAGCTGGCGCGCGCGCAAACCATTCTGGTTCCTGTGCGTGCATCTTCGCCTGCACTCGAGTCTGCCATTTCCACTGACGCTCTTCAACACCGCGGACCTGACTGCAGGCACGACTTTGTTCGTCTGCCTAAGATAGACTTGCCTCATTTCGACGGGGACTATCAGCACTGGCTCGAATTTAGAGATACGTATATTTCCTTAATCCATGATAATTCCAGCATACAAAACATAAACAAATTCCATTATTTACGTGCAGCCCTAAAAGGTAGTGCATCTTTAATTATAAAAAGCATTGATTTTAAAGCTAATAATTATGATTTAGCATGGCAATTGTTGATCGAAAGATATGACAATGAAAAAATACTTATAAATAATCACGTGCAGGCATTATTTAATTTTGAACATATAAAACAAGAATCTTGTAGTCAATTGCGCAACATGATTGATGTAACTAATAAAAACATACGTGCTTTGTTAACATTAGGGCAGTCTTGTGAGCATGGGAGTCTTGGAGAAACCCTTACAATTTATATTATGTCAGAAAAACT